AAATTCTTTCATCTCACCACAGGACTGTATGCCAGCTGATACTTGTATATGTGTGCATGCCTGTAAGCCCTCACAGATGATAATTTCCAAAAAAGACTTAACATGATGTGGACGGATGTTATCAATGTCTCTGCTTACAGAGGGCTCGATCAGATATAATGGAGGTCCTAAACTTGTCATGGCACATAGACCACCATCTCTTTGGCCAGGCCATTCTCTTCCACTAAGAAAATCTCTTCAAAAGATGCAGCTTAGCAGTAAAGCCCTTGGCTGTTGTGTGAGAGCGTTCTAAAAAAAAAAATTAAAGCTGGATATTGGTAGCTTATGCTCATTCCTGGGTTACAAGTGCTTTAGATGAGAGACGTAAAAGATCTATATGCTAGCCATGTGCCAATGGCTCACACCTGTAATCCTGGCTACTCAGGAGGCTGAGACCTGAAGTCATGGTTTAAAGCCAGCCTAGGCAGGAAAGTTTGTGGGACTCTCAACCTCCAATAAAACTACTCCAAAAAAGCCAGAATTGGAGTCCTCTCCAGTTAGGAGCAGGATTGTGCATATGTTTATGTTCTCTGGTAGTATACATCTTGCTCTGCTCAGCAGTTGAAATTAGCTAAGCAATTGAAAAGCTATTGAGGTTTTTAAGTGGGAGTTCTGTGGACTAGAGTTTGACTCTTGAAATACAATCGTGGTGGTGGTGGTGTGTGTGAAACATGTAGGTGGAGGGAAGACCCAGTACGTAGGAAAGGGTTGTTAAATGGTGTGACAGGTGTAGCAGGAGTTGTTGTTCATAATTTTGTAAAGGTTGAAAGAAAGGACTAGTTGAGAGAGACTTTACTGCAGGGAGCCACACACTGGACTAATGAACCCAGGAAGATGAGCATAGAAACTGTTTCTGGGATCAGCTGGCAAAAATCAGGTGGGGCTGAAGTCCTCTGACCTAGTGGCCTGGCGAAAAGAGCATAGTACCATTTGCAGGTGGTGTGAGTTGGGCTTTTCCTACCCATGTGACCTTGGGCCAATTACTTGAATCCTCTCCATTTTCCATGGCATGCAATTGAGAGTATATAGGATTTCCCTGACTAATTGTTACTAGAATTAAATTAGGTAATAACTATTATGCAGAGTGCTCAGAACTGTAATTAGTGCCTCATATGGTAAATAAGTCATAGCATTTTCTGGCATACAGTCCATAGTAGTAGAGTGGAATCAGGTACTATAGTAAATTACAGATCTTATTCCTAAATTGACTTCAGTAGCAGAGAAGTGCTACACATTAGGCTGTTCTGTAGCAGCTCCAGTGTTTCAAGAAGATAGTGTGAATGTAATTGGCATTCCCAGTGAGACAGCCCAACAGAGCAGGTAGAGGCCAAGAAACCTTGGGAGGGGAAGAGAGGGGCCATGGCCTAGGGGTGGGAGCAACAGCATGTTTTGCATGGGCAGATTTGCTGACCTATAGGCTGAAGTATTGGGGAAGGAGTGAAGTATTACTCTTAGGGGAATGCATTTGGAGACTCCAGACCTTTCTAATTTTTCTCTTTTCTGTTCCTCCCATGCTCTTCATCAGATTTTGATGCAAACAATATCTTCAAGGCATTCTTTGGTGGTCCTGGGGGCTTCAGCTTTGAAGGTAGGTGTACCTGCCATTCTTGGGCATTTCCACATCACAAGTCAACACTGACTTTGATTTAGGCAGCTCTTTGTGCTGCTGAATCGTGTACACAGGGCATCAATCCTTTTAGGCATTGGTGAGGAGGCTCCTGGAATATCTTGCTTTGGGATTATTAACTGCGTATCTGGCAGGATCCGTAGAGTCTCTAAGCTGAGTTACCAGGCTGCTCTATGAAATTGAAAATGCTCATAAAATGTTCTCCCAAGCTGGATGCCGGTGGCTCGCGCCTGTAATTGTAGCTACTCAGGAGGCTGAGATCTGAAAATCTTGGTTCAAAGCCAGCCTGGGCAGGAAAGTCCATGAGATTCTTATCTCCAATAAAGAAGTGGTACTATGGCTCAAGTGGTAGAGTGCTAGCGTTGAGCTGAAGAGCTCAGAGACAGCGCCCAGGCCTAGCTAAGGTCAAGCCCCATGACCGACGGAAAAAAAAAAAAAAGCTCTCCCAAGTGTGGTGTGGCCCAGGGTCAGTAGCTCAAGCTCATGTCTGTAATCCTACCTAGGAGGCTGAGCTCTGAACCCAGGTAGAAGGGTCCATGAGATTTTTTTTTTTTTTTGGGTCCGGTCGTGGGCCTGAACTCTGGGCCTGGGCGCTGTCCCTCAGCTCTTCAGCTCAAGGCGAGCACTCTACCACTTGAGCTACAGCGCCACTTCTGGTTTTCTGAAGATAGGAGTCTCATGGTCTCTTCTGTCCGGGCTGGCTTTGAACCTCGATCCTCAGATCTCAGCCTCCTGAGTAGCTAGAATTACAGGCATGAGCCACCAGCGCCCGGTTGAGATTTTTTTTTTTTTAATCAGTCCTGGGGCTTGAACTTGGGACCAGGGCATTGTCTCTGAGCTCTTTTGCTCAAGGCTAGGACTCTACCACTTTAGCCACAGGGCTACTTCTGGATTTTTCTGAGTAGTTTATGGAAGATATGAGGTTCATGGACTTTTCTGCCCGGGCTAGCTTCAAACTGCAATCCTCAGATCTCAGCCTCCTGAGTAGCATTTATAGATGTGAGTCACCAGCACCCATCTTCCATGAGACTTTTATCTCCAATTAACCACCAAAAAGCCAGAAGTGGAGTTTTGGCTCAAGTGGGAGCACCAGTCTTAAGTGCAAAAGCTAAGGAACAGTGCCTAGACCTTGAGTTCAGGCCCCAGTACTGGCAGACGTACACATACCCACATCTATGTGATGTGAGTGGCTCACAGCTGTAATCCTAGATATTCAGAAGGCTGAGATCTGAGAATCATGGTTCAAAGCCAGCCAGGGCAGAAAAGTCCATGAAACTCTCTCTCCAGATAACCACCAGAAGTGGAGCTGTGGCACAACATGGTGGAGCCCTAGCCTTGAGCAAAAGAGCTCAGGGACAGTGCCCAGGCCATAAGTTCAAGCCCCACAACTGGCCAAAACAAATAATAATAGTAGTAGTAAGTGTAATGTGACTGTGGTATAGAATACTTTTCTAGTCCTGGATTCCATCGCAGCACCACATACACATAGATGTTCCCTTGAGCACTCCAGGCTTAGGCTGTTTTATACACTTCAAGTTTCTGTGTTTGAGCTGAAGCTGCCTTTGAAGATTTTTACATAATCATCAGTGATCTTCTCTACAACATCTGTAAAACAATTAACAAGTTTTTCTTTTCCTTTTTCAGCATCTGGTCCAGGGAATTTCTTTTTTCAGTTTGGCTAATGAAGGGCAACCATTCAGAACCCAGAAAATGCAGACTTGCTCAGTTTAACCTTGAATGTGGACACAGTTCACCTCCTCCCTTCATCACGTTTCTGTGTACCTAGAGCAGTTTCGTTTTCTCAGTTGGGTGCCCTGTGTCTGTGCGAGTCGGGTGAAGGAAAGGGAGCCAGCACCGAAGACTGGGGAGGGGAGGGAGGCTGGGGGGTGGACAGGGAGGCAGCTTGTGAATTTTTGTTTTACTGTTTAACTTTATTAAAAAAGAATAAAATGTTTTGACCCTTTGTGGCAGTTGCTTTGTGTCTTTTCAGTCTGCTGAGCTGAGCCCCCAGCAGAGCAGACCTTGACATGGGGTTGACAGATAGGGCTTGGGCAGCCTCAGGTACTACTAGGATCAGCCTAATGCTGCTCAGAGGGAACTGAGTTCAGAAAGCACACTCATCTTACATTGGGGCCACCAGAGATCCCTAGCAGCCACGTGTCCGAAGTTCACACAGGAGTGTAGGTGGATGCTGATTTGGATGGGACCTCCTACGGTTCTTTACTGCCACTACGGGCTGAGGAACGTGGAGGCAGGAACAAAATCCTTCTTCCTGGCGGCACAGGTTTCTCCAGAGCTCACATGTGGTTACTACATTAGGCGTGTGTGATTAGAAGCCACTCTGCAAACACCACTTGGCTTCCTTTTCTGGATGCGGGAGATGAACTGAGAAAGGAAGCTGTGGTGCATGTTCATGCTGCTCCTTCAGGGACTGTTGAAGACAAGCTACCTAGGAGCTCTTGGCAGACATGTGTTTGTCTTTTTGTCTCTGAATTTTGGAGTTTTGGTAACCTTAGTAGAGATGGCCAAGGAGACATCTTCAACCAAAGCAGTGACATAATTTCTTTGAGATTGGCTCTTTTCTAGTCTGCTCTGTTAGCAGCTAGGGCCATGCTGAAGTGACTTGGTTAGGCCTGGGACATTTCTCACACAGCTGCTTAGGCGCTGTTGGCTTGCAGCTGTTGATTATTAGATCTTTGCATGTGTTTGAAGAGCAATAGTCTTCCCCACACAACTGGCAGAAACCTGTACTTAGGAGTTCTGGGTCTTGCTGGGAATGTTTCTGATGAGACTGGGCTAGAGACACCTATAAGCTTGTTGCCCTAGTTAATGGGAGATGTTCTGTGTTCCACATCCCTTACTTCCAGCCTGCCCCCACATTCTTTGTTTTTGTCAGTCATGGGGCTTGAACTGTAGGCCTAGGTGCTATCCTTGAACTCTTCAGCTTAAGGCAAGCACTCATCACTTAAGACACAGAGCCATATACCATTTTTAGGTGGTTAATTGGAGATGAATGTCACGGACTTTGCTGCCCAGGCTGGCTTTGAACCACTATCCTCAGATCTCAGCCTCCTAAGTAGCTAGGATTACAGGCATGAGCCACCACGGGCTCCTGGCTGCCCCCACCTTCTGAATGTGAAGCCAGCCTCTTTTTTTTTTCCCGACACTTTTCATGAAAGCCAACACTGTTCAGCTGCCCAACCTCATTACAGCTGTGCCCAGACTGCAGAAGGGAGACAGGACCAATGGCCCCGAGCAATGGGACAAAGACAGTTCTAACAGCCCTAGCTCTACGGAAGACTGAGCTGGAGACAGAAGGGTGAGACCACAGGGCTAAGATTAACATGATTTATTTATTATCAGTCTTACAAGTTGCTGACATTGGGCAACCAGGATAGGAACTTAAAACACTTTTGTTGAGTTGACAGCTTGATTAGCATAGTCTGGTTACTGAGCAGAGGGCAGTGGAAAGCACCTCAGGAAGCACGGCACAGAGAGCAGTGTTCATACTCCCCCAGAAGAGCAGATGGTACTTTTCTCACCAGCCAGTGGTCCCGGGACCTCCGCTGGATCTTGGTATCCACCAGCCCCCTTTAGGGGAGACCTAGCCAGTACCATGGAGGCAAGATCAGCTAGACAGATAGCAAGGTAGTTAACGTCCCTGGTCATGTGTCTTTGGCTTTGATCTTGTGGGCCCACAGCAGAGCACATCCCCTTTTGGGGTGAGATCAGTAAGCAGTCTTGGACATGGCTACTGCTTATTACTGTTTTTCTGGTTTTCCCTAGTTAGCAAGGGACTAGTTATAAAGGGCCTTAGGACCAAAGGTGGGAGGGTAAATCCCATTTCCTACCCTGGCAAATAGCCTCAGCCTTCCAGGAGCTTTAAATGATTAAAAAATGGGATCAGAACCCAGGGGCCCTCCCCAAAGTCATTGCCTCTTGCCTCCAGTCAGCAGTGTGTGCCGCTCTGGACAGTCCTGGGCTCAGGGCCGGTCTGCCAGTTCCTGGGGACTGGTGCAGCCCTAGCCCCAGCATCCCAGCCTTATCAGCTCAGGGTCCTGAATGGTGTCCACCCACCTGCCCAGCTTGTGTTGAGAGCTTGAGTTTAGTTAAGAGGGGAACAGGCCAGGTGGGCAGGAAGGGAGAGGCAGTTATTTTACAAGTTGTTTGGTGGTTTTTTGTTTTGAAAGTTACAGATAGGTTAACTGAGTAAAAACAAAATCATAAAAACCAAGCTGAGGGCACGATTGCCCTGTACCTGCTCCCATCTAGAGCAGGGGTGCAGAATGCTAAGACCCCTCATATGATGGTACAGGACTGCAAGGTGCCCCCCTTCCGGCTGCCGTGTGTGGGTACAAGTTTGCCCTTCCCGTAATATCCTGTGAAGATGGCCTTGACCTCAATCTTCTTGGCCAGGTTCAGCATCCAACACCCTTTGCCCAAGGAGTAGAGCTTGCCCCGGGAGAGCTGACCCACCTCCTCCCCTCGGCTGCCCCCCTTCTCCTGCCGCACAATCTCTAGGAGGTCAAGGCCGGTCTGGTTGGCCTCCACATCGGCTGCACAGCCCAGGGTGATGTGAGCACGGCTCCCCCGGGGCAGGCTGTCAGATAACAGCTTGTCCACATCATTTGGCCACAACTGCAGCTCCTGCTCACTCAATTCCACCCGGGCCCCTGTTGTTCTGGGTGTCACAAAGAGGGCAGAAATGGTCAGTGTGAAGGCCTTCATGTAAGACTTCTTCACCACCTAGGGGAGAGGGAAACAAGAGGTGCCCAAGTTCAGAATGACAGCTGGCCAAGAGTGAGTGGGTTCTGGAGAACAGAAAGGTTGGCCTTGAATTGGGTGCAGCTGTGTGGAGGTATTTCGTTTTGTTTTTTATTCCCCGGTCATGGGGCCTGAACGCTGTCCCTCAGCTCTTCAGCTCAAGGCTAGCACTCTACCACTTGAGCCATAGTGCCACTTCCGGCTTTTTCTACTTATGTGGTACTGAGGAATTGAACCCAGGGCCTCATGCATGCAAGGCAAGCACTCTACCACTAAGCCACCTTCCCAGCCCCTAGAGGTCTTTTTAAAAGCATGAGCCAGGGCTCTGGTGACTCACACCTGTAATCCTTGCTACTCAGGAGGCTGAGATCTGAGGATCATGGTTCAGAGCCAGCCCAGGCAGGAAAGTCCATGAGATTATTATCTCCAATTAACAACCAGAAAAAACAGGAAGTGACACTGTGGCTCAAGTGGTAGAGCGCTTGCCTTGAGCTGAAGAGCTCAGGGACAATGCCCAGGCCCAGAGTTCAAGCCCCATGACCACCAACAACAACAAAAAAAGCATACAAGATGGAGAACAAAGGGTGAACAAATGCAGCAGTGGTACTCTAGACACTATTGAAAATGACTAAACAACTTGTGGATGGGGTGAAGGGGGAAAAACAGAGAAGGTGAAGGAAGAGGTAACACTGTCCAAAAAGAAATGTATTCTTAGCCGGGCACCAGTGGCTCATGCCTGTAATCCTAGCTACTCAGGAGGCTGAGATCTGAGGATCATGGTTCAAAGCCAGCCCGGGGAGGAAAGTCCGTGAAACTCATCTCCAATAAACCACCAGAAAACTGGAAATGGTGCTGTAGCTCAAGTAGTAGAGTGCTCGCCTTGAGCTGAAGAGCTGAGGGACAGTGCTCAGGCCCAGAGTTCAAGCCCATGACCAACAACAAAAAAAAAGTAGTCTAGCGCTGGTGGCTCATGCCTATAACCCTAGCTACTCAGGAGGCTGAGATCTAAGGACTGTGGTTCAAAGCCAGCCCAGACAGGAAAGTCTATGAGACACTTATTTTCAATAAACTCAAAAACTAAAAGTGGTGCTATGGCTCAAAGTGCTAGAGCACTAGCCTTGAGCGAAAGAGTTCAGGAACAGTGCCCAGGCCCTGAGTTCAAGCCCCATAACGAAGTGGGGGGGGGGCGGGGAGGCCATTATTGCTGCTGTGGCTCAAGTTATAGCCTTGAGCAAAAGGAGCTCAGGGACAGCAATCAGGCCCAGAGTTCAAGCCTCAGGATTGGCCAAAAAAAAAGAGGGGGGGGGG